CCAACCTTCCTTCCGAGGAGTGGCTGGTGGGTTTGAACCGCCAGCCTTTTGGTTAGCAGTCAAGTGTCTTAGCCACTATGCTACCAGAGCTCCCCGGTAACTATATAGAGATAGGAATTTTATGTCAGAATTGATATATATAGAAGTATACAAAGAACCTCAAGGAAATCAAATCAAATTCTACAAAAACAAATATATGGGTTTGTCTGTAAATCATTTAAGGGACTGGAAAATGCTGTCAACAAGATAACAAACTTGCTATCCGCTTTTATGAAATGGTACAATAAATACTCTGCCTCTTCCTCCAATATCCTTGCTTCGCTTCTCTCAGGAGTCTGAACTTGTATTCTTGTTTAGAGAAGAGAGTGATAGGAAGAAGGCAGGTAGTGCTACCATGCATGAGACTGACAGTGTGTACATTTTATTGTATTCTTGTTTAGAGAAGAGAGTGATAGGAAGAAGGCAGGTAGTGCTACCATGCATGAGACTGACAGTGTGTACATTTTATATACTTTTAAAGCTGGAATGGAAATTAGAGATCATAGCAGTTCAAGCTTGGTTTTAGAAGAGGAAACTAGGCAACTGGAAGAAAAGGAAGCTCCAAAAGTTAAGTCACAGAATAGAAGTAGATGGGGTCAATGAAAATGTAACAAATAGAAGTAAATTATAAAACTACTTAAAGTAACCATTTTTTTTCTTCAGCTGGGAACAGCAGGTAAGCTCAAGTTTTTCTTGTTCAGAGAGGATTTCTAACAATTATCATTAGTAGTCAGTGGGTATTGTGGAAAGAACACTGGGCCAGATTTATAGAGATAAAGGGTCTAGTCCAATGTCTTTCTGCTTATTACCCAAGTCATCTCAGGCAAGACTTCACCCACCTCACTTTCTTAGAGTTTTGACCCTTTCTCTACTTTACTTTTTTTTTTTTAAAAAGACAAAACCATTCTTGCCTCTTCTATTTTAGATTACTTTACTGGGAGCAAGGGGGTGAGAAAAGCCATTATTTGCTCCAAGCAAGCAATCTACGTAAGTCAATTCCACAAACGTTCAAAATTTTAAACTACAGGATACCTTTGCTGTTTTTGTTAACTCATAATGACCCCACATGACAGAGCAGAACTGCCCCATAGGGTTTCCAAGGCTGTAATCTTCTAGGAAGCAGATAGTCACATTTTTCTCCTACAGAGAGGCTGGTGGGTTGGAAACGACGACGACCTTTGGTTTCACAGCCCGGTGCTTAACCACTGTGCCACCAAAACTTCCCACTCAAACCCAACCCAACCCACTGCCATAGAGTGCATTCCTACTCATAGTTATCCTGTAGGGCAGAATAGAACTGCCCCATAGGTGTTTCAAGGCTGTAAATCGTTATTGATTCAGACTGCTATGTCTTTCTCCCTCATCAGGAATGCTTAGTGCCTACTATACTGTAACTGACTCCACTCATTTCTTTACAAACTTTATCTCCTCTTCCCGAAGCTCAAATCTGATGCTAGCCAGAAGCCGCACACACCCCCAGAGCTATTTCATTCCATTGGTTGGCGGATTCTCCTGCAGTCTACACCCTTTAGATTTACTGTCAGGCCACCCGGTGTTTATTTGTCAGAGATGTTACACTGCGCATATATTAACTTTTTTTTTTTTTTAATAAAGCATAAGCTGTCAGGGTAGGAAATAATTTTAAAAATAATAATAACGTGCAATTAATAAATCTTTAGATTAAAAAATATTGTCTAGATTTCAAACTTAAAAGGTAACAAACTGTTTCTGTATCATTTGTCATCGTTCTCTAACAAACCAAAAAAAAATCAACATAATTTATTTCATATTTTGTATTCGGGTGCCCATGAAAACTTGCATAGGCAGAATCAGATAGACCTGGCATTCCCATTTCTAGAGGTGCATTTCGGCAGGACCCTTCCTGTGTGACACATGTAGTATCACAAGAGAAAGAGGTACTGGGATTCTTCGGCATACAGCATCAACGTATGCAGGGACCCAGGGTGATCTCTTGGGGAAGGAGGCAGGACCAACTACGTGGTGGTTTTAGGTGGGAAAATCACCGTTCATCCAGAGCCTGACACACCCCAGGAGAAAACGGATAAGTTGGTATGTCCGCCTGGCGCTGAGATGGCCCCGGGCGGGGAGGTAGGAAGGAGGACACTCCAGGCCCGGCTGAAGTCTCCCCAGGGCAGGCAGAAGGCCGAGAGGGGAGGCAGGGAGCCCCGCGGGCCAGGCCTGCGGTGTGAGGGGGGAGAAGGGCACGGCTTGAGTAGGACGCTCACCTCCCTTGCAGGGCGTACGGTGCTGGCTGTGTTGGGCTCGGTAGCCCTCAATGACTTCCCAAGAGCCGTCGTCGCGCCGAATGGGGAAGGAGAGGCTCAGCACATGGTTGCAAGGCTTGATGATTCGCAGGATGCCGCGCACCCTGTTCCGCTTCTGCTCCTCGCTCTCACGGGTCCTGAGGTCCTCCACCAGCTTGTCCTCAACGATGCTGGCGCCGCGGTCGAAGAAGCCCTCCACCATCTTGAAGAAGTTGGGGTCGTCCTCGTAGGCAGCTACCGCCTCGCTGTAATGTCGCCGAGCGGGCGGCGCGAGCCCGGGCTGCGGGGCGGTGGCGGACTGCCCGCGAGCCCAGCCTAGCAGGGCGGCTGAGTCGGCTGCAGCCGGGCTGAGGACGGCGGGCCCGGCCCGGGACAACAGCAGCGCTTCGCCCAGGCAGCGGTACATGGCGGCAGGCAGGGGCTCCGCGGAGGAGAGATGCGTGCGGGCGGAGAAGAGGTGCACTCGGAGACCGCGGACGCAGGGAGGAAGGGCCCGGCTGGGGCGGCCTTTTTAAGCCGCAGCTTCCTGCCTTGTTGGCTATGCCCTCCCCTCCCAGCGCTCGTCGCCTAACCGGGAGGACGGACTCTAGACCTTGGTCCAACCGCGCCAGTGAATGGGAGGGCGGGGGGCGCGCGCAGGGCGCGGCCCGGAGCGCGCCGCCCAGGCAGCACCGCCCCCGCTCCCTCCTCCCTCCCCCGCTCCCGCCGCGGGGGGCGAGTCCCTCGGAGGCGCAGGGGCCCCGGCGCGCATGCTCTAGTTCCTTGCCCGGCCGTGTGGGGGAGGGGCGCACTTCCTTCCCGTACCCCGCACTAGCGACTTCCTGTCCCTGTGCTCCGGTGTCAGGTCAGTGCGCGCCTGGGTTTCCACTTGGGAGGGGGCTAGCGCCTCTCTGGGGCGCTGGAGTCCAGGACTGGGGGCCGGGGCGGGGGAAATGTTGCGGTCTGGCGTCGAGCCCGGGGCGGTGAGTCATGGGTCTCCCTCCTTTCCGCCCGCGCGCCCTTGGGCGGGGCGGTCATCCCTGCTGCCTTTTCTCTGTCTTCGGGCGGCAACCCTGAAGGGCCGAGCGCAGGGCACCAGGATGGGCCGGGTAGGGAGACGGACCAGCGGCTGTGCAGGCCAGGCTGAAAGACTTGGCTTTATCCTCGGTGACCGGGAACAGCTTAAATCCGGAATTCGGTTCTTGAGAGTGCTTGCAGGAACCGGCAAGGAGAAGGTCTGGGAACCGGGGAATCCCTTCCCCCTTACGTTAACCACTTAAGCTTTTTGTTTTGCCTCACTCAAAACATTGTTGCGTTCTTTCTACCATTTACTGATCGCGTTTCCTTTTTTCAGAACTAAAACAGGGAAACTATAAAAATACAATAATATGACAAGAAATTCTTTCTAAGCTATATATGTATTCGTTAGATGGTCCAGAGTAGAATTTGTCAACTTTAAACTCTATGAGGGTTCAACTATGCCCTTCTGCATATTTGCTGAGAAAAGATAAAGTAACACACGCCTGTGGGTAAGTTGATTTTAGGTGCCTTCTAGTGGATTCCAACTCATAGCGACCCTATGTACAGCAGAAGGAGACACTGTCTGGTCTTGCGGCATCCTCAGTTTGTTGTATTTGAGCCCACTGTTGCAGCCATTGTGTCAATTCGTCTTGTTGAAGGTCTTCCTCTTTTTCATGCCCCTCTCCTTTACCGAGCACAATACCCTTCCCCAGGGTCTGATCCCTCCTAATAACATGTCCAAAGTATCTGAAACAAAGTCTCACTATCCACTATCTTTGCTTTAAAGGAGCATTCTGGCAGTACTTCTTCCAAGAGACATTTGTTCTTTCCGGCAGTCCAAGAATTCTCTGCTAACATCATAAATTCAAAGGCATCCATTCTTCCTCATTCATTTATTTCTCATTCATTCATTCCTTATTCATTGTCCAGCTTTTGCATGCATATGAGGCGATTGAAACTACCAGGGTTGAGTCAGGCACACCTTAGTCCTCAAAGTGACATCCTTGCTCTTTAACACTTTCAAGAGGTCTTTTGCAGCAGATTGTCCCAATGTAATATGTTCTTTGATTTCTTGACTGCTGCTTCCATAGGTGTTTATTGTGGATCTAAGTAAAATGAAATCCTTGACAACTTCAGTCTTTTCTCTGTTTATCATGATATTGCTTATTGATGCCGTTATAAGGATTGGTCCATTTGAAGGTAAGTTAGGTGCTTGTAAAAGTCTAATAACTCAGTCATTAAGCAAGTTGCCAAATGCCACATTACTTAGCTGCCCGAGTGTATTTTGGTGGTTGTAATCTGGTATTTTTTGACCTGCAAAGTTGCTGTACTTCCTGCCATGTTCACTTTATTCATTTATTAGAATATGGGAAAGAGGTTCTTAATTCTCACAGTATTCTGTAAAGTGTAAGGTGACAACATGGGTGAATTACATTCATCTATATCAAGGTATGGGGGGCTCTGGTAGCATAGTGCCTAAGGCACTTGACTGCTAACCAGAAGACTGGCGATTCAATCCCAGCAGCCACTCCTCAGAAGGAAGATGGGGCAATCTACTTCAGTAGTGATACCGCCTTGGAAACCCAAGGAGGGGTCGCTATGAGTCGGATCTGACTCCACGGCACATAACAACAACAACATATCGAGGTATGAGTCAGGGCTGACTTGACGGCACATAACAACAACAACAACATATCAAGGTAAAGGCTCTTCGGCTGTGTAGTGGTTAAGGCATTTGCTTGCTAACTGGAAGGTCGTCAGTTCAAGCCCACCAGGTGCTGGTGGGAGAAATATAGGGCAGTCTGCTTGGGTGAAGATTTACAGCTTTGGAACCCTATGAGGTAGTCTGTCCTGTAGGGTCATGATGAGTTAGAATCAACTCGATGGCAGTGGGTTTGGGTTTGGTTTATACCCGTGTGCTCTCAAGACAATGATTATCCTTCCTTACAGATGTACCTATGAAGCCTCGAGTTGCAATATTGAGAGATTCTATGGGCAAAATATTGAATGATGCAGGAAACATCAAGAGAAGATGGCAGGAATACACAG